ATATTTTCCTTCCTGTTACTGCCTCTGAGTTTGATTTACACTTATTTTATGGGTGAGTAATGCAGACATCTGAGTCACTGATTGTAATACCATTCTTCTTTTAATCCTTAAGAACTTTACTGAGATACACTTTATATATCATATATATGTCATATCATTTCCTTTTAATATATTTATAGGAGTGTATAACCATCAATAAAGTCAAGTTTTGAACATTTCCTCATCACCCCAAAAAGAAACTCCATGACCATTAGCAATCACTCTTTGTTTCACCAACTCCCAATTCTTTTCACAGAAGCCTTGAGAGCTGTGCATGTCACTCTAGGCACTGGCTTAGTGGCTTCCCACACGTTCCACATGTTATATAATCATCATAATTTATTTTGAAATATTTTGAATCTCTTTTGATTTCATCCATGAACTATGAATTACTTATAAGTATGTTGTTTAATATTCACATATTGGGAGTCTTTCTAGATATAGTTATTAACAAATTAATTTTGTTGAGATCAGATTACATATTTTATATAATTTCCTTCATTTTATATGTTTTTAGATTTGTTTTATAGCTCACAATGTGGTCTATCTTGGTGGAAGTACCATGTTCATAGAAAAGAATGAATCTCCACTAGATGTTCCATATGTGCTGTATAAATGTCAGTTAACCCACTTATGCCTGAGGTTGCAATTTTTAAAATTTTGCAATTAGACGTTGGCAATGGCCTTGAGCAGTAAGATAAAAATAATTTTCACGTGTTTAGCATTTAGGATATAAATAATTCCCATGTTAGCAATAATGGAAACTTAGGCATAAATATTTGTCAAGGTGGTTGACAGTGTTCAGATCTGTTGTTATTTTACTGTTTTCATCAGATCATTCTATCAATTGGTGAGAAGGAGGTGATAAGATCTCCCTTTAATCCTTTTGAGTGTTGCTTCATGGATTTTAAAGCTCTATCATTAGGCATAGACACTATACACATCTATGATTATTATGCCTTCTGATGAATTCATTTTTTTTGGGAGGGGCTGGGGAGATGGAGTCTTGCTCTGTTGCTCAAGCTGGAGTGCAGTCGTATGATCTCGGCTCACAGCAACCTCCACCTCCTGGGTTCTAGCAATTCTTCTGCCTCAGCCTCCCAAGTAGCTGGGATTACAGGTGCGTACACCATGCCTGGCTAATTTTTGTATTTTTAATAGAGACAAGGTTTCACCATATTGGCCAGGCTGGTCTCTAACACCTGACCTCGTGATCCACTCGCCTCGGCCTCTCAAAGGGCTGGGATCACAGGCAGGAGTCACCACGCCCGGCCAAATTCATTCTTTTAACACTGCAAATGCTGTCTTAAAAAAAAAAAAATCTCTGTGAATAGCAAGTGAAAACCTGACAACAATCTCTTGTTGACTCCGGGCCTGGGCAGACCTCAGCATTTGGTTTAGCTGTTCTTCCCATCGCTCACATGAAACATAGTTTATGAAAAGCTGAGGACATCACATCCATGCTTGTGCAGGCTTCCTAGAACCCACGTTACTTATTCATCCAAGGAGGGCTTGTCCAGCACCTGGTGACCACACTGCAAGGAATCCTGGAGTATCAGGGGCAAGCATGACCGTTTCTTTCCTTCGGACAGTTCCAGTTCACAGGGAGATGAGGCACAGCCATCAATAACCCAAAGTCTATGAGATGCAAAGAGTCATGAGGGGCTGCCCAGGCAGAGGTGACAAATGCCATTGGTGGCAGGGACACTGGTGGACATAGAGGAAAAAGTCCACACAGATAGGTTCCCAGGCAGATAGGAAGTCAAAGCAGTGGGGGAGGGGAGTAACAAGAAGTGAGGTTGGGACGCAGCTCTGCAGTTTGTGGACGTCTCTGATTGAGGGAGATGGAGGGTGTGGTCAGAGAAGTGAGGTTCTCAGTTCACAGATTTGGGCTCATGAGGGTGTGAGGGTATGGGGGTGTGTGTGTGTGTGTGTGTGTGTGTGTGTGTGTATGTGTGTAAGAGAGTGAGAGAGACAGGCCTTGTTCTAGGTCTTCTCCTCCATAGCCTCTCCTGACCCTGCCTCTTCCTGAGCTGAGTCATTAACCAGGGGATTTCCTTGCCTTATTCATCCTGGACAAGAGTTGCGTTAGGCTGTTTTAGAGGCAAGTTTGGCATTCACACTGCAGCTTCCTCTCTCAAGCGTACACACCCTAAAACATGCCTTGTTAATCTTAAAGTGAGGAACTCAGAATTGTTCTGAAGATCATCCTGTGGTGAGAAATATGTTTCTTTTGAGTCTTTTGTGGCTTTTTTTTTTCTTTGTTCTTTTGGTATAAAAAGACCCCTGGCTTAAGAAGCAAGCCATCTATCTTATAGTTTCAGGCCAGCCTCATGGTCGGGGGAAAGCCACTTCTTCTCTAAACATGTCTATCATTCTTGAGATAAGAGGTGGCCTTACGTGACCTCTCAGGGACCCCCAGCTGTGACCCAGCCCTAGGTGAGTGCAGGCCTCATGAACAAGCACCAAATAATCCCCTGGGAAAGGCCAGCACAACCCGGTGACGCAATCACTGCTGCTGCCCCGAGCGTCGCTCATCCCCCTGCCCAGCCCCTCCACTGAACGAATGTTCTGCGTCTCATGCTGCTCATCTAAAATGAGGGCAATGAGAGCTCCTGTACAGTCTGTTTGTATGAGGATTCCATGTGTTCATATGTGTATGAAGTGCCGAGAACAGACTTGGCATGTGCAAGTAATATATTTCATCACATGCTGTTGTTAGTACAGACATTACCCTCAATGTGGATTTTAATCAAACCACATCCTCTAAGCCAACAATACCATGACCTGGGGCCTTGTAACTCCCAGCCTCCCTCTGCCAGAGTCAAGTAGGGAGATGGTATCCCTGGAGCCGGCACAGCCTCTCTGGAGGTGGGGGAAGTGAGGCAGGTGGGACCCCGTGCTTCCTGATATTATTTAGGTCCCTGGTGACACCTCCTTCACCAGACTGTGGGCTCCAGGGAGCAGGATTCACACAGGGCTCACTTGTCCTCCCACCGCCACCAGGTGCAGACATTCTCAGAGTAAAGGGCTCATCATCCACTTCCTGAGTGAATGACTTTCCCTCCAAGCCCATGGGGCGAGCCCAGTGGTGGCCTCAGCTCACAGGCTCCAGGCTGCAGCACAGAGAGGTGCCCCCGAAGAGCCCTGTGACTCTGCTGAGGATCCCCAGGAGCTCCCAGAGGCCAAGGGCAGGGCAGAGATATACAGAAGCAGCTGCTCAGCGGAACTTAGTCCTGCAGAGGCCAAAACATGGCTGTTATTATTCAGAAGGGGAGGACAAAAATGCTAGAGGCATGGCTCCTGAGGATTATTTTTGCCGCAATCAAAGTGCTGAAACCACTGTTAAGGAGAAAGTCTTAAAAGCAGCCAGAGAACAAAGGTCTCCTCCCCACAGACAAGCCAGGTGAGAGGGGCAGCCTAAGCCAGAGAAAGCACAGCAGGAGGAGGCAGCCGCAGAGGGCCCGCCCCAGGCAGTGTGGCTCTTCCCTCCTCTTCACCAGGACTGTTCCCCCTCCCTCCACTCAGTGCTGAGACCAACAGCAGACATGGGGCAAGGGCGTGATGCACTTAATATGACCTAAGCCATACAGACCTATTGCCAGCAAACTCCAGTGCCCTCACTTTGAAATTCTCTTCATCTAACTTTTTAAAATGGTCATTCCTAGTTTCCCTCATTCTTACTAGTGCTCTGGGCAGAACTTGCGTGTGGCCTGGTGCACACATTCTCCTGTGTAAAATGTGATGATTCCTTCAATTTCCTGCTCAGAGACCTGGGTGGGCTGCAATGAGACCCTCTGTGACTCAGGGTCTCCTTGTGGCCATTGTCCTCGCCCCAGGACCTGGTGGGGGATGCGAGCTCTGGGAAGAAACCTCAGGAAGGCAAAGAACCGACTTAGGAGTCCACATCCAGGGCTGGATGCAGGGTCCCCAGTATGCAGTTGGACCTGCTGTTCCCACCCCTCCCGATGAGGTCACCCCAGGCAGCCCAGGGTCAGCACATCCAGGACCCACTGCTGGGGTCAGGCCTCTGATGCTGTGCTTGAGCGGACACCCCATCCTCAGGGCGCAGGCTGTGGGTAATGGTGTCACCAGGGCTGCACGAAGGACAGGACTGCAGCAGGACCTGCCAGCCTGTGTGCTGCTCAAGATGGCCATGTGTCTCCCACAGTCAGTCCAGATCCCCCAGGCCACTTCAGAGAGTCAGGGCAGCCATGAGGACAAGGGATTGTGTCCGCCTGAGTTCTGCAGTGGGTGGGAGGCAGTTCCTCAGCCTACGAGGCATCCAGTTTCTGGAGAAACCATGTCACTCTGTTTATACATTCAGGGACACTTTCGTCATCTGGAAGAGAAGGAGTCTCCTTAGCAGGCAGGGAGGGGCCCATGCAGCACTTCCCTCCCAGAGGGAAGTAGGGGGTAGGAATAGGCTGGGGGCTGGGACACTAGACAAGGAGCCCTGTGCCTGGGGACAGGAATAAGGCCTTGCAATTCGGGAACACCCTGAGGAAGGGGGATGAGAAGGGGAAGTAGAGTAAAAGCAAACAGATGGAAAATCTGTTTTCTGCTCTGTGTTCTTCTCTGACCAAGGCTGAGTAAATTCCCTGACCACGTCTTATCCTGACCCTTGTCACCCAGTTGAGGAGCTCACTACCCCCTGCCTGGCTGGGTCTGAAGATGGGAGGAACTGGCCCTGCCCTCCTGGACTTGGCTGGGAGATGAGGGGACCCCCAGCCCCTGGAGACGGACTGATGAGACCAGGGTCCTGTGGGGTGCAGAGGATGTGGGGACAGGGTGATCACAAGGAGGAAGATAGGGCCAGGCTGGAGACACCAGGACATAGGGCAGGGGTGGGCATTTTTGTCTGTGGGAACAGAGCAGGAGGAGGCAGAGCAGAGAGTGCCCAGCTCCCCTGCCCTCAGCCAGCACCTACTTGAGCCAATGCCTTTCAGGAAAGGAAGGAATTTCTTCTACAGTGAAGTCTTCCAGATAAACACAGCCACAACCGTGACTAGAACTATGGCCCTTAGTTCTGCATGATGATGCATAGCAGGTAATCGCAAGAGGCAGGAGTCCCCGAGCTGGTGGTCACTGTCTCTTCAGCAGCTGGGGTTTTCACAGTGGCGTTGGCACCAGATTCTTCAACACACCCGATATCACTCCAGGACATACAATTACTGACCAGGACTTTCCCACTGGGGCACCTGGGTACACACAGGGAGGGAGGGGGGACTCTTGAGGGAAAGCTGGCCAGGTAGTATGAAAGAGGAGCCACCCTCCCTCTGCAATGACCCCGAGAAGGCGTCAGGAGAAGGACGGGCTCCTCGTGTCTGCAGGGTCCACCCATGCTCCCTGGTTGGGGCTGGGGAAGGGTCTGAGCATGCGCACTTCAGCCCCTCGGCCTCCCTGCTCTGGGGTCAGAGCTGCAGCTGCAGGAGCCTTCTATGCTGGGCACACATTGAGCTTCCCTGGGCTGCAGGGGAGGCCTGCGTTAGGAGGAGCCGCACTCCAGGGGAAAATCACAATCCCATGTGGCCGCAAGCTGAGCCCCGTCCTCCAGGTAACCCACAGTGCAACTGCATTCTCACCCCCACCTGTCTGCCGGTTCCTCCCAATCACAGCAAACAATAGGGGGCCAGAGAAGAGCAAATTACTCCTGGCCCTTAAAACCCAAATAGGGAAGACAGGACACTGAGAGATTGGGGCCAGGAATGAGGTGGGCTGGAGTGACTCAGGGCTTCATGAGAACTTGAAGGAGCCCTACCCATGGCCTTCTTAAGACTTTTGTCTTAAGGGGCCTGAGAACCTGAAGGCTGAGTGAGGCAGAGCTCGTCCCAGGAGAACAGAGCCCAGGGAGAGAGCCTGGCCCCGGAGCAGACCCACGCCACCGCTCAAACCCAGTCCTGTCCACTCGGCCAGGCCTTCTCTGTGCTGTAATCATGCCCCCAACCCCTTGCAGCCGATAGTTTAGAAGATATCCCAGCCAGGTGGCATGCATTATAAAAAACATGTCTATTTTTTTTTATCAGCCAAATGCATAATCGTGGAATAGGGTATGATGACGACCAAGTTGGGCTGGAACTTGGTTCCCTCACTCACATCGCTACAACTCCCATCTCATTGCCCTGCACTCCACCTCTGGGCAAAGGGTTCACACATTCTGTACCTGATATACAAACTCTACATGGGAGGCAAGAAAACAAATTGTTGGAAGCATTGGTGTAATCCACACCCTCTGTGCACCTGTTATAGGTTCCAGTATATTCTGATCTATGAGATCCTGGGAAGGGAGAAAAAAGCCAATGAGTGAGTCACCACAGAATTCCCAGAGGCTATCAGTGGCTGGGAAACTTATCTTTTTGGCCAGGCACGGTGGCTCATGCCTGTAATCCTAGCACTTTGGGAGCCCAAGGCGGGCAGATCATGAGGTCAGGAGATCGAGACTATTCTAGCCAACATGGTAAACCCTTTCTCTACTAAAAATACAAAAATTAGCTGGGCATGGTGGCACGTGCCTATAGTCCCAGCTACTCGGGAGGCTAAGGCAGGAGAATTGCTTGAACTCAGGAGGCTGAGGTTGCAGTGAGCCAAGATCGCACCACTACACTCCAGCCTGGTGACAGAGCAAGACTCCATCTCAAAAACAAACAAACAAAAACTTTGTCTTTTGGCCCTCAGTGGAATCCAGACAGAGAAATCCACTCTTCCAAGCTTGGTCTTGTCACCAATTTGACATTTGTTACACATTTTTGACTGGTACTGTGGACAGAAATATAATACAAACCACATGTAAAATTCAAATTCTATCAGAGCCATATGAAAGGAGTTAAAAGAATGAGGTCAAATTAATTTTAACAAGAAATGGATAGATTCCTGGACACACATACTTTCTCAATACTAAACCAGGAAGGAGCTGAATCCCTGAATAGACCAATAACAAGTTCTGAAATTTAGGCAGTAATTAGTAGTCTACCACCCAAAGAAAAAAATAGCCCAGGACCAGACGGATTCACAGCCAAATTCTACCAGAGGTACAAAGAGGAGCTGGTACCATTCCTTCTGAAACTGTTCCAAACAATAGAAAAACAGGGACTTCTCCTTAACTCATTTTATGAAGCCAGCATCATCCTGATACCAAAACCTGGCAGAGACACAACAGAAAAAATTCAGGCCAATATCCCTGATGAACATAGATGGGAAAATCTTCAATAAAATACTGGCAAACTGAATCCAGCAGCACATCAAAAAGCTTATCCACCGTGATCAAGTCGGCTTCATCCCTGTGATGCAAGGCAGATTCAACATATGCAAATCAACAAACATAATCCATCACATAAACAGAACCAGTGATGAAAACCTCATGATTATCTCAATAATAAGAGGCCTTCAATAAAATTCAACATCCATTCATGCTAAAGACTCTTAATAAACTAGGTACTGATGGAACATCTCTCAAAATAATAAGAGCTATTTATGACAAACCCATAGTATCATACTGAATGGGCAAAAGCTAGAAGCATTCCCTTTGAAAACTGGCACAAGACAAGGATGCCCTCTCTCACTACTCCTATTCAGCATAATACTGGAAGTTCTGGCCAGGGCAATCAGGCAAGAGAAGGAAAAAAAAGCGTATTCAAATAGGAAGAGAGGAAGTCAAATTGTCTTTGTTTGCAGATGACATGATTGTATATTTAGAAAACCCCATCATCTCAGCCCAAAAACTTCTTAGGCTGAAAAGCAACTTCAGCAAAGTCTCAGGATACAAAATCAATGTGCAAAAATCACAGGCATTCCTATACACCAAAAATAGACAAGTAGAGAGCCAATTCATGAGTGAACTCCCATTTACAATTGCTACAAAGAGAATAAAATAGGAATACAACTTACAAGGGATGTGAAGGACCTCTTCAAGGACAACTACAAACCACTGCTCGAGGAAATACAAGAGGACACAAACAAATGGAAAAACATTCTATGCTTATGGATAGGAAGAATCAATATCGTGAAAATGGCCATACTGTCCAAAGTAATTTATAGATTCAATGCTATTTCCATCAAACTACCAGTGACTTTCTTGCAGAATTAGAAAAAACTACTTTAAATTTCATATGGAACCAAACAAGAGCCCATATAGCCAAGACAGTCTAAGCAAAAAGAACAAAACTGGAGGCATCATGCTACCTGACTTCAAACTATACTATAAGGCTACAGGAACCAAAACAGCATGGTACTGGTACCAAAACAGATATATAGATGAATGGAATAGAACAGAGACCTCAGAAATAACACCACACATGTACAACCATCTGATTTTGACAAACCTGATAAGCACAAGCAATGGGAAAAGGATTCCCTATTTAATAAATGGTGCTGGGAAAACTGGCTAGCCATATGCAGAAAACAAACGACCCCTTCCTTATGCCTTATATAAAAATTAAGATAGATTAAACACTTAAATGTAAAACCCAAAACTGTAAAAATCCTTGAAGAAAACCTAGGCAATACAATTCAGGACATAGGCATGGGCAAAGACTTCATGACTAAAACACCAAAAGCAATTGCAACAAAAGCCAAAATTGACAAATGGGATCTAATCAAACTAAAGAGCTTCTGCGCAGTAAAAGAAGCTATCATCAGAGTGAGCAAGCAACTTACAGAATTTTTGTAAGTTACCCTTCTGACAAAGGTCTAATATCCAAAATCTGCAAGGAACTTAAAACAAATGTACAAGAAAAAACAACCCTGTAAAAAAGTGGGTGAAGGAGATTTACATATACTTTTTAAAAGAAGACATTTATGCAGCCAACCAACGTATGGAGAAAAAGCTCATCACGGGTCATTAGAGAATGCAAATCAAAACCACAATGAGATACCATCTCACAACAGTTAGAATGGCGATTATTATTAAAGAAACAACAGATGCTGGCGAGGCTTTGGAGAAATAGGAACACTTTTACACTGTCGGTGAAAGTGTAAATTAAGTTCAACCATTGTGGAAGACAGTGTGGCAATTCCTCAAGGATCTAGAACCAGAAATACCATTTGACCCAGGAATCCCGTTACGGGTATATACCCAAAGGATTATAAATAATTCTATAAAGACATGTGCACATGTGTGTTTATTGCAGCACTATTCACAATAGCAAAGACTATGAACTAACCCAAATGCCCAACAATAATAGACTGGATAAAGAAAATGTAGCTCATATACACCATGGAACACTATGCATCCATAAGAAAGAATGAGTTCATGTCCTTTGCAGGGACATGGATGAAGCTGGAAGGCATCCTTCTCAGCAAACTTAACACAGGAACAGAAAAGCCAACACTGCATGTTCTCACTCGTAAGTGGGAGTTGAACGATGAGAATACATGGACATGGGGAGAGGAATATCACACACCAGGGCCTGTTAGGGGGTGGGAGACAAGGGGAGGGAGAGCATTAGGACAAATACCTAATGCATGCGGGGCTTAACACCTAGATAACGGGTTGATAGGTGCAGCAAACCACCATGGCTCATGTATACCTGTGTAACAAACCTGCATGTTCTGTACATGTATCCCAGAACTTGAAGTAAAATAAAATATTCAGGGATAAAGAGAGAAAAAAATAAATTTAGATTGTATACACATATAAAATGCATTTTGAAAGGTAAGCTTGTCTTTTTTATTCCTTAAAGGAGCAGATATTAAAAAAAAAAAAAAAAAGAATAGAATCACTCTTACCTTTTAGCCTCCCATGTATTTACTTGCTTCTTCACAAGTTACTTGGTCTAATTCAGTATGTAAGTAACTGACTCTCACTGCTTCTTCTGTGCCAGGTAAAACTTGCATTAAATAGATGTGTGTCCTTTTTTCTTTGGACCTGTCTTATGTCAATTTAATTCTGAGGCTCAGCAAAAATAAATAAATAAAAATAAAAAAGCCCTTAAAGGGGAGCTTAGCTTCCCTCCATGACCCCAGTGGTGACTGTAATCAAACCACATCTTCTAGGCCAACAGTACCACATCCTATGGCCTCAGTGGCCTGCCTCTAGCACGGCCTCGGTGGAGGAGGTGAGGCAAGGGTGGTGAGACCTCAGGCCTCCCAAATGCTACCTCCTATTAGTGATATGATCCCTGCTGTCACCTCTCCCACCACACTGTGGGCTCCAGGGAGCAGGATTCACATGGGGCTCGTTTGTCCTCCCTGGCTCCAGCAGACTCCAGGCACAGGTGTTCTCAGAGTAAAGGGCTCACTGTCTACTTCCTGGATGAATCCCTTTCCCCCAAGCCCATAAGGTGAGTGCAGTGGTGGCCTCAGCTCACCGCCTAAGGACAAGCTCCAGGCTGTGTTACAGGGAAGGGACCCCAGAGAGCCTGTGGACTCTGCTGAGGAACCATAGGAGCTCCCAGAGGGCCAAGTGCAGGGCAGAGATCTGGAGAAGCAGCTGCTCAGAGAACTCTAGCCCTGCAGAGGCACAAATATGGCTGCTATTATACAGAAGGTGAGGCCAAAAATGCTAGAGACACTGCTCCTGCATCTCATTTTTGCCACTTTTAAAACAGGGAAAACAACCTGCCGTCCTCTCCCTGGGTCGTTAGGAAAATCCACCACATGAAGATGTGCAGTCTCTGGCTGGGAGCAGGACACCAGCTGCCCAACAGCACAGGCTTGAGGCAGGGCACTGTCCCCACTGTCCCCATCTCCAACCTGGAAGCTAGAGCCTCACTGCCCTGTCACTCCTGGATACAGACCGAGGATCAGAACTGGGACTGTGGTTTCTCTGTAAAGGCTGGGTGAGCAGCCATCTGGGGCCACGTGGATGGAGACCTTTCCTGCTCCTCAAACTGCAACCCGGGTTGGGCACCTACTAGGACAACTGGAAGCGTGGCAGATGAACCAGGCTGTGGCCCTGCAGTGCCATCACTGTCTTCACTTGAACTCTGCATGGCGCTTTACCCCAGTCTTTTCCCCCCCACCCGTCTTCAGAAGCTTCTGCCCCAGCTCAGGGAGCTGGTATGGAGGTGCAGTTAGGAGTAGGTGCAGCCTCTGCTGGTTGGAAGACACGTGCCCTGGGGATCTAGAGTCCAGAGTGACACACCAGCCCTGAGGATGCAATTTGTCCTCCCACATCTGTTACACAACTGCTGAAGTTTACACAGGGTTGCTGAAAATTTTTTTATCTCCTGCTCATTTTACAGGAAAGAGCTGGGGCCACACTAGAGTCACAGAGCTGGAGGGGGAGCAAGGCAGGGCCCAGCCATCCACTTCCGTCAATCTCAGTACTCTTTGACAGCCTGAGAGCCTGAGACCACGAATCTTCTTGATTCCTACTTTGATAGAGAGAGGGATGGAGTGGAAGGATCTGGCACAGAGATTGGACCAGCCTAGCACTAACAGAGCCGGGACCTGGGTCAGGAACTGAGCTCAGCTCCAGGCTCATGTGATGTCATCCTGACAGTCTGGGGCCACAGACCTTATCTCCACTCACAAGAATGGCAGGTGGCAGGGACTGGCCCCAGCTCACCAGTTTCCCAAGTGCACAGCTGGGAATTAATTCTCCCTGCCGACCTCCACTGCTGTCTCATCTGGATCCTGGTCATCTATTCTCAGTATCAAAAAACTACTGTATCCTTGAAAATCCCTAATACGTAGGGAAGGAATGAAAATACATAACAATGTGATGTATCATGTTTTACTTCTTAGACTCGTAAAGAACGTGGCCAGGCACGGTGGCTTATGCCTGTAATCCCACCACTTTGGGAGGCTGAGGCGGATGGATCAGGAGATCGGGAGATAGAGACCATCCTGGCCCACATGGTTAAACCCCTCCCTACTAAAATATGAAAAATTAGCTGAGCGTGGTGGTGCACACCTGTAGTCCCAGCTACTTGGGAGACTGAGGCAGGGGAATCGCTTGAACTGGGGAGGCGGATGTTGCAGTGAGCCAGGATTGTGCCCCTGCACTCCAGTCTGGCCACAGAGCAAGACTCCGTTTCAAAAAATAAAAAATTAAAAAAAAAAAGAGAGCTAAGTGTAGCAAGGGTGTAGGGACAGAGGCACATTTGTGGACTAGGGGTGATTATAAACTGGGTTCAGTGGTCTTTGGAGGAAAATTTGTGGACATCTAAAGAAACTTCTGAAATCATTTATCCTGCAGAAGGAGTAAGATTCTACTTCTAAGGAGGTGCCCAATAAGCTGGTGCACATGGATATGTGGGGACACAATACATACAAGGTTATTTAGAACAATGCTGGTGGAATCAGCAGAGGCAAAGTCAGGATGGGATCTCACCAGCTGTTCCTAGGTGGCAACAGTGAATTAAACTGTGGCTCACCCATGCAGTAAAATACAATACCCTCCTTAAAAAGGAGATCAATCTCGCGCCATTGCACTCCAACCTGGGTAGCAAGAGCGAAACTCAGTCTCAAAAAAAAAAAAAAAAAGGAGATCAATCTTAGTGTACTGCCATAAAACAGCTAATGTGATTTATGTTAGCTCCAAAATTTTAAAAAGAGATTGTGCAATTAAATGCATTTAAAAAGGCAAGACTGGCCAGGTGCAGTGGGCTCACGCCTGTAATCCCAACATTTTGAGAGGCTGAGGCAGGTAAATTACTTGAGTTCAGGAGTTGGAGACCAGCCTGGCCAAATAGTGAATCACCGTGTCTACTAAAAATACAAAAATTAGCCAGGTGTGGTGGTGCAGTCCTGTAGTCCCAGCTACTCAGGAGGCTGAGGTGGAAGCATTGCTTGAACTCGGGAGACGGAGGCTGCAGTAAACCGGGATCATACCACTGCGCACCAACCTGAGTGACAGTCTCAAAAAATAAACTTCAAGAAAAAAAAGAAAAGAAGGAGAAAGAGAAAGAAAGGAGAGAAAAGAGAGGAAGGAAGGAGGGAAGGAGGGAGGGAAAAAGGAAGGAATGAAGAAGTAAGGGGGAGAAAAAGGAAGGAAGGAAGAAAGGAGAGAAGGAGGGAGGGACAGGTGCCCGGGGAAGGGGAGAGGATCAGGACGCGCCTGGAAAGCACGCTCTGAACCTCAAGACCCTGCTCACAGCCCAGCGCGCGACCCTGGGAGCCGTCAATTCCCCACGCGCCTCCCCCAGTTCATTCTCCCCAGTTTCGGTGCCTCTCCTGTCGCGCACAGGACCCAGAAGCAAACCGCAGCCCTGGGCGCCGCCGCCTGGGCAAAGGTTCGTTCCGTTTCTTCCTCTCCCCGCCCCATTTGGACGTGCTTGCAGAGGATGACGTTGACGAGGCTATTTATTTATTTATTGTCACCAACCTGTGGTGGAATTTGAATACTGGCTCTGATTCGCCTCCACCCTGAGTAACGCCTGCCGGGGCGGTGAAAGTGCAGCAGCGCCGCGCCACACAATTCATCCAACACACGCAAATCGGCAGGCGTCCCGAGAACACCAGACTCCAGGGACATTTCCGCTACCACGAATACACGGGTGATGCCCGATCTACTTTAAAGGCTGAAGCCTGCGGGACGAAGAGCGTTTCTTACCGCCGTCGGACAGCGGGGACAGAGTGCCCCGACCCCTTCGAGGTCCCGGAAAGGGCGCGGCCCCGGGACCCAGGACAGCGAGGGGAGCCATGTCTGGGCTCCTCACCCCCAAGACGCTTGTGCTCGTCGTCGTCGTCGTCTCGGTGCTGCTGTCGGTGAGTCCCCGCCGCGATCCCTGGGAAGAGCGCGCCTGGCGCCACGAGGGGGCCAGGATGGGGGGGGGTACGGCGGGGGTGCCTGGCCTGGGTCACCTTCTGCCGGGCATGTCCGGGCAAGACGTACCCGTCGTCGTCGGAGTCTGGGGAAGAGCAGGGTCCCGGGATGGGCAGGACTGACCCGGGCCAGGAGGGGGCAGAGCGCGCGCTTCGCTCGGGGTAAATCCCCGAATCCAATGGTGGGGGAGGGCGGCAGGTGGGAATTTCCCTGGAAGCCGCGTGAAGCCACGGAGAGGTCGTCGGACTTTAACTCTCTCTCTTTTTTCTCTCTTCCTTTCTTTCCCTCCCTTCCTTCCTCGCTCAGTTCCTGCCGTAATTTCTTTTTCTTTTCGCCTTCGAATGAATTCCGAAAGATGCTTATTGCAGTTCGCTTTGAACAGACAAGTCTGCAGCCAGAAACTCTTCTGTGGTCGCTGCAGCCCCTGGTTCTGTTGCGCGCGCAGGAGCGGTCGCGGGCGCAGCTGAAGAGGCCCCTTCCCCTCCTTAGCGGCTGCGCCCCCAAGCGCACGGGGCCGCTCATCACACCCCGATCTGGCAGCCAGACCCGGGCTCCCGCTTCCTTCAGGAGCTGGGGGTGATGCGTCTCACACGCGAAGCGGGTGGAGCCTAAAGATATTCAGGACAAAAACACGTGCAGTTCTTTCCACATTGGCCCGGGCTCCCGCCAGTGCCACTCTTTGGGGTTCCTCGGGAAACGAGATTTAGAAAGAGGAAGTCTTCCTAAATCAGGCACTTGGGGCCGTACCTCCTTGATAGCAGTTGCATTTTGGTCTGGGGAGGGCCTTTCTATCCACCCCCAGGCAGGTCTCTGTGTTAATAGGGAAGGAAGATCGGTTCTGTAGGGAACAGCATGGTGTGCTCAACACTTGGAACACAGCCTGGGCCAGAAGCTGGGGCCGGGAGCGGTGGTGAATCGTCACATTTTACAGCGGAGGAGAACGCAGATCAGAGGGGGAAAGTGTGTGAGCCCAGGCCTAAAGGGAGGAACTGGGAAAGTAAGGTCGGGGGCATGCTAGTGTTGACCCAGAAGAATGTCGCTGTGAAGCATTGGAGTTGTATTGGAATATTGTTACACACCTCATGTTGAGTTCACTGCTTCCCTCACACCACTGTGTGTCCTTGTTCTTACCTCTGAGTGGAGGGAGGGTGGGAACCGTCCTGGTGAAGCGGGTGTACAGGGGCCTCTGCCTCCGCCTGCTGCTGTGGTTTCTGCGGGCCTCAGCTGCCCCGGCATCTAGCTTCTCTGTGGATAGTGGATCTTTGGTCTCTGGCAGCTTTTAGGATTTTCCTTTTTTTTTTTTTTTTTTTTTTTACTTTTACAGGAAGTTTAATCAAATATGCAAGGAACAGGAAATCCAAATATGACAAACTTTTCCAAAGAGTGGAAAATGAATACATCTCTAAACACGTTTTATGAAAACTAGTAAAACCTCTTTATCAACCAGGATTTTTCTTAGCAGTGACTTAGTTTGTTTGCCCAAGGTTGTGTTGAATTCCTTGGATTTTTGGCTTTAGACTTTATGTTCTTTCTACTTGTAAGATTTTTCTGTAAAGAAAGCCACAGCTGGGTTGTGTTGAAGTTCTTGGATTTGGGGTTTTAGAGTTTATGTTCTGCTTGGAGATTTTTTTGTAAAGAAAGCCACAATAGCTCACGCCTGTAATCCCAGCAGTTTGGGAGGCCGAGGTGAGTGGATCGCATGAGATCAGGAGTTTCTTTTTTTTTTTTTGGGACAGAGTTTCGCTCTTGTTACCCAGGCTGGAGTGCAATGGCGCGATCTCGGCTTACCGCAACCTCCGCCTCCTGGGTTCAGGCAATTCTCCTGCCTCAGCCTCCTGAGTAGCTGGGATTACAGGCACGCGCCACCATGCCCAGCTAATTTTTTGTATTTTTAGTAGAGACGGTGTTTCACTGTGTTGACCAGGATGGTCTCGATCTCTTGAGGTCAGGAGTTTCTATACTGAAAATACAAAATTAGCCGGGGAGGAGGGGGGGGGGGGGGGGAGGGGAGGGCGCAAGCCTCAACAGGGTTGGGTTGAATTTCTTGGATTTTTAATTTTACACTTTATGTTCTACTTGTAAGATTTTTCTGTAAAGAAAGCCACAACAGAGTTATGTTGAATCTCTTGGATTTGGGGTTTTAGAGTTTATGTTCTACTTGGAAGATTTTCAGCCATTATTTCTTTAAATAATCTGTCTCTTCCTGTTTTTTCTTACATTTATGTTAGAATGTCAGTTTTTGTATCAGAGCTAACTTAGTATCTGTTCTTTTTCTCCCCCCAATCATTTTTTATGTTTCACTTTGGATAGTTCCTAGCGAGGGCTCATTGATCTGCTTCTGCAGAAGCTAACCTGCTGTTAATGTCTTCTACCATATATCAGAAATATATTTTTTAAACTTTAGAGGTTCTCTTTTGGCCTTTTTAGTATCTTCCATCTATTTCCTGATCATCTTTGTGTTTTTCTTTTTTGAGACAGGGTCACATGAGGTCAGGCCTCTGTCACCCAGGCTGGAGTGCAGTGACGCAGTCAGGGCTCAATGTAGCCTCAATCTCTTGGGCTCAAGTGATCCTTCCACCTCAGCCTCCTAAGTAGCTGGGATCATAGGCACTTGCCACCACAGCTGGCTAATTTTTGTATTTTTAGTATAGACTGAGTGGGTTTCACCATGTTGCCCAGGCTGGTCTCAAATTCCCAGGCTCAGGAATCCTCCCAGCTTGTCCTCCCAAAGTGTTGGAATTACAGACCTGAGCCACCATGTCCGACCTGTGATTTTGGTGTTGTTATTGTTTTGTTTTTTAAGATCCTTGAGTTTATTTGTAAGCTTTAGATGACCTGTTTTAAGTTTTTTAATCTATCCATGCCATTATATCTGTTATTACTGCCACTGTGTCTATTGATTGCATTTTTTTCCCCTGCCTGTAGGGACATTTTCTGTCTTTTTTCATGCATAGTTTGTTTTTTTTTTTTTTTTAAGACTCGTTCTCTCACCCAAGCTGGAGTGTAGTGGCATGAACTTGGCTTACTGCAACCTCCACCTCCTGAGTTCAAGTGATTCTCTGCCTCAGCCTCCCAAGGAGCTGGGATTACAGGCACCTGCCACCACGCCCAGCTAATTTTTGTATTTTTAGTAGAGACGGGGTTTCACCCTCTTGGCCAGGCTTGTTTTGAACTCCTGACCTTGTGATCCACCTGCCTCAGCTTCCCAAAGTGCTGGGACTACAGGCATGAGCCATTGCACCCAGCCCATTCATAGTACTTTTTTATTGCATGACATTGTGAATTTTGCTTTTTTGGGTACTGAACTTCATTGAGGTTGCTTCGAAGTGTTTTGGATATTATTCTGGTCACAATTAGAAAACTGAGGATCAGTTTGCTCCTCCAACACTAGCTTTTAACTAGTTATAACTATACGTTGTGTGCAGTTGCCTTATTCAGGGGCTCATTTAGTTAACTACTAGGGGTACAGTGGTCAACTTCTGATGGTAACTAGCCAGCACCTGTGGCATGCGGTCTGTCTGTCCACTGTGGGAAGGGGAACATGCAGTGCTCCCAGCCCTGAGTGGGCCACAATCCTGGCCCATCCACTGTGTCTGGTGGTCTCTCCTCCCTAGGGTGGCTTTCTCTCAGGCACCCAGAGTCAGTCTCAGCAGACACTAGACGTGTCCTCTGCATGGATCCGGAGTCCTCTGGGCAGCTGCTTCCCCCAGTCTCTGCTCTGCACTTGGCCTCTGGGAGCTCCTGCCTGTGATTCTCAACAGTCTACACAGCTCTACAGGGTCCTCTGTCTCTGGTGCAGCTGGAGCCTATCCTTACGCAGTGAGCTGAGGCCACAGCTAGTCTCACTGCCTGTGCTCGGCGGGGAAGTGATTCATTCATCAGGTAGATGAGCAGCCCTTTACTCTGGGAAAGTCTGTGCATGGGTGGGAGAAGGACAGATGAGCCCTGTGTGAATATTGCTCCCTGGAGCCCACAGCCCGATGGAGCAGGTGACGGCAGGGAGCTAAATAACTCTCAGGAAGCATGAGGTCCTACCACTGTCACCTCTCCCACCTCCAGAGCCACGTTGCTGGCACCAGAGATGTCATCCCTCCATATTGGACTCTGACAGAGGAAGCCTGAGCAATCTCAAGGCTCCAGGTCATGGTATTTTGGCCAGTATAATATGGTTTGCTTAAAACCAACACTGAGGATAATGATTGTACTAATCAAAGCATGTGTTTCAAGTTCTGTGTTTTAAGCACTGTGATTACCCAGGGCAGTTGTAAGCATGTGGGTGACCCAGAGAAGAAGGAAGAGCTTACTTGGGTTAATTTGTGACCAGAAACATTAGCAGGCATTAGTCTCAAACTTGGTAAAAGCAAACCGAGTCACAGGTGGATGAGTCACAAGACGAGGAAACCCCGCCAGTGACTCATTTCCGGGAGGAGACAGGGTCTGTAGAATTCAATGGGGCAAGAACTGAAATAAGCCAAGCGCCTGGCCTCCCCCTTTTTTGTTTTCCTTCTCTCTCCTAACCATGCCCACACCCTCACACCCCCGTGAGCCCACATCTGTGGACCCACACAGCCACACATCTCTGGCCACATGCCCATTCCCTTGAAATCAGAGAGGCCCACAGACTGCACAGCCTTGTCCTGCACAGCAGATAGAATGAATAGTGATGAATGGATCTATATTATTTCAAGTCTCCTACGTTTCATAATCATATTACAATATTAATTCAGCAGTACATTTCTTGTTTTTACTCCCCTTCCCCATTACATTGGCCTCCTGTCTGTCTGGGATTCTGTCTGTGTGAACTCTTTCCTCTATGTCCACTATTGTCCCTGCCACCGATGGCATTTGTCGCCTCTCCCCAGGCAGCCCCTCCAGTCTCTTTGCATGTTCATGGACTTTAGGTTCATGATGGCAGTGCCTCAGCTTCTGTGAATGGAAACTGTACTAAGGAAAGGGAGGGCCACGCCGTGTTCCTGATACTCCATGGCTCCTTGCATGTGTGGTCACCAGGCGCCTACGTGCCTTCCCTGAGTGAATGAATGAGTGATGTGGACTAGGAAGCTGCACTAACATGGATGTTGTGCCCTCAGCCTGCTCGCTCATAGAGTGTGTTAAACGTGAGAGGTGGAGAGGGTTGCAGGCAGGTCGAGGACAGAATAGATGATCTGAAAAAAGGCGAAGGATCGCCCAGGCCCAGAGTTATCAGGCTTTTGTCAAGTTTTCACTGGGGACATTCCCCACTAGACCCGAACTTCAAAGATCATTGTTCACCCGGTACAGAGTGGATTAGGTGAGTGACCTCCGGTGTGGCCTGGGTAGCATTTGGGATGGGTTCTAGTGATTAAGGTGGGTCAGGTTGCGTTATTGTGAAGGAGGCAAGTGGCAGCTGAGGCTGACCTGAGGGAAATGATGATGATAACGCAGGCCAGTGATGCAGTGGGTTTGGTAAGAAGAGGAAAGAGGTTACTGGTGGATTCTAGTGTTCCTAATCTGAGACTTGGCTGAGGTCCTTACCAAATAAGATGGAGTAAATGGGCATAAATGGCTTTAAGAATTAGAAGCCTGAGGCTCGGCACGATGGTTCATGCCTGTATTCCCAGCACTTTGGGAGGCCGAGGTGGGCTGATCACCTGAGATTAGGAGTTCAAGACCAGCCTGGCTAAAATAGTAAAACCCCTGTCTCTACTAAAAATAGAAAAAATTAGCGGGGCATTGTGGCTTACGTCTGTAATCTCAGCTACTTGGGATAGTGAGGCAAGAGAATTGCTTGAACCTGGGAGGCGGTGGTTGCAGTAAGCTGAGATCGTGCCACTGCATTGTAGCCCAGGTGACACGGTGAGACTCTGTCTCAAAAAAAAAAAAAAAAAAAAATTAGGAACCTGAATGTGCTGTTGGAGACAGTATGGATACATCATTGCTTACAGACCTGCAGTACACAAAATGCTAAAAGATTTCAATCTGAGTAGAGGTGAAATGAAATGGAAGCATGGATTTTTTTTTTTCTTTTTTGAGACAGAGTTTTGCTCTTGTCACCCAGGCTGGAGTGCAATGGTGCAATCTTGGCTCACTGCAACCTCTGCCTTCTAGCTGGGATTACAGGTGTCCGCCACCATGCCCAGCTAATTTTTGTATTTTTAGTAGAGACGGGGTTTTCACCATGTTGGCCAGGCTGGTCTCGAACTCCTGATCTCAGGTGATCCACCCGCCTTGGCCTCCCAAAGTGCTGGGATTACAGGCATGAGCCACTTTACCTGGTCAGAAAAATGGATCTTAAGGAAAGAAGGAAGATCATCAGGAATAGAGACATGAATGCACATATTAAGAATGATCATTTCCTCTTAATTTCTTGAAAATATTCACTATCAAGTAATATAACACTATAACACTTTGTAGGGTTTATAACATATGTACATACCTGAGACAACTATAGCAGAAAGAATGAGTAGTGGAGATGAATGAATCCAATTATTTCAAGTCTCCTACATTTTATAATAATATACCATATTATTTCTGCCATACAACTCAGTAATAAAAAGAAATGGAATATTGACGCACATGATAATATGACCGAACTTCAAATAATTATGCTGAGTGAAAGAAACCAGAAAGAAAATCATATATGCTATTTGATTCCACCGATGATATTTATAGCCAGAAATGGTTTAATTAAAAAAGAAAGATCTTAAATCAACAAACTAAGTTTACAAATTTAGAAATTAGAAAAAGAATGAACCAAACCCAGAGTTAGCATTATAAAGGAAATAATAATTATTAGAAGAGAAATAAAATAGAGAATAGAAAAACAGCAGAGGCTGGACATGGTGGCTCATGCCTATAATCTGAGCACTTTGCGGGGCCAAGACAGGAGGATCACTTGAGGCCAGCAGTTTGAGACCAGACTGAATACAGCAAAACCCTGTCTCTACAAAAAGTGAAAAAACGAGCCTGATGTTGGGGTGCACTCCTGTGATCCCAGTTATTTGGGAGGCTGATGTGGGAGGATCACTTGAGCCCCAGGGATGTAGGTTGCAGTGAGTCAATATCACGCCACTGCACTCCAGCCTGGGCAACAGAGTGGGACTCTGTCTCAAAGAAAGAAAGAAAAACCATAGAGAAAATCAGCAAAACCAACATTGATTCTTCAAAACTATTAAACTGACAGACTTCACTAGTGAATTCCAATAAGCTTTTAATGAAGAGCTAATACCACTACTTCTCAAACTCTTTCAAAAACTTTCTTGACTCTTTTTGTGAGGCCAGGATTGCTCTGATATCCAAGCAGAGAACGATACTACAAGAAAATAAAGCTACATACCAATATCCCTAATTGATGCAAAAATCCTTAACAAAACACTAACAGAGAATTCAACAGTACCTTAAATGGATTACACACCATGACCAAGTTGGATTTATGTCTGGAATGTAGGAATGTTTCAACAAATGAAAACTGAACAGTGTAATACATTGCATTAATAGAATGAAGGGGAAAAAGACACATGATCATTTCAATTGATACAGAGAAAGCCTTTGACAAAATTCAAAGCCCTTTCATGATGAAAACACTCAGCAAACTAAGAATAAAAGGAAAATTCCACAATGTCATAAAAGCCATGTAAGAAAACCTCATAGCTTGGAAGTTCTAGCCAAAGCAATTAGGCAAGAAAAAGAAATAAAAGCATCTGAACTGTAAAGGAAAAAGTAGAATAATCTGTGTTTCCAGGTGATGGGATCTCACTGGTAGAAAATCCGAAAGATTGCACAAAAAATTAAACTGCCAAAAATAAAATCATATCAAATTTTTAAAATTTAGAAATTTACAGTTGTACAGTAAGAGACAGTATAGATTACAGTCCGGGAGATTTCAAATCAAGTAGTAAGATACTTGCCTTACAGCGGGTATAGGACAGTTTATAAAGGAGGATGTATTTTGACAATTTCATGATTGACTTAAAAATTTACATTCTTTTTAAAGACAATCAGAGCTGTTTAAGCTGATTTTTCTATAGGTGCTTGGTTTAATTTCACTGAAACTCATGACAAAGATATAAAGCTTACATTTTGTGGGGCTTTTTTATGATTACAGCTGGTGTTTCAGGGATATCAGGATGTCTTAAGTTTTGGCTACATGGTTATATAAGATTGGCCTTGGGGTATATCTGAAGTGTGTTTTTAAATTTTTCTTTAACAGTACTTAAAATGAATTCATCAAAGAAGCAGAATACAAAATCAACAGGAAAAATCAGTTGCATATCTATACACTACCAATGAACGATTCAAATCCAAGGTCATGAAGAATTATTCCCATATTTTCTTAGAAGTTTTAGGGTTTTCACTCTTACGTTAGATTTTTGATTCATTTTGAGTTAATTTTTTGTATTTATGTAAGTTAAGGGTCCAAGGTCATTATTTCATGATGAGTTAATATCTAGATTTCCCAAGACCATTTTTTGAAAAGATTGTCCTCACCTTATTCAATGGTCTTGGTGCCTTTGTCAAAAATTACTTGATCATATGCAGTCACGCACCACATAACAACATTTCTGTCAACAGCAGAGTACATATATGATGGTGGTTCCACACAGTTATGTAACACACTGCACAGGTTTGTAGCCTAGGAGCAAGAGGCTGTATAGGCCAGATGTGTCGCAGGCTACAGCATCTAGGCTTGTGTAAGCACACTCTCTGATGTTCACACACGCAATCACCTAACGACCCTTTTCTCAGAACAATATTGAGCAATGCATGGCTGTATGTGCAAGTTCATTTCTGGGCTCTCTGATCTAACCATGGGTCTGTATGTCAGGCACCTTTTAAAATCAGAAGTTCCTTATTTAATGTTTGATTTTATATCCCAATTTTTAAAAAATTTTCTATATTATAACCCCCATTTGTAAAAACATTTATGTGTGCCTGTGTCTGTGTGTGTAGTCTCACACAGGTGAGAGAGAGAATAAGAGAGAGAGAGAGAGAGAGCATATGTACACCTATGGGAAAATAGTGGAACTAAATGAGATAACATATTAATGGATGCTATCTTTAGTTGAGAATATCACGCGTGGTTTGTGTATTCTTCTAAAAACTTTCCTTCCCCACACTTTCTGGAATAAACATGTTTAGAAGAGTTTTTCAAGTGTATGTTACTTGGCCTTCCCTGAAATGCGAAGGGTCAAACGAACACAAAAGAATGTTTGAGAGTGACAGCTGCAAGAAAGATGAAGGTTCTGTTTAGTTTGCTTGCCTGGGGTGAAGGGATATGAGACGGATCCTGGGAGTCGTGAGGTCTGGAAGCCACTCACACCCATCCCTGCTTTGTCCCCACAGGTCTCAGCCGACTCTGTTCCAGTCACCCAACAAAACCTAGCTCCCCGGCAGGGAGTGGCCCCACAACAGAGGTTCAGCGCCACATATGGATTGTGTCCGCCTGGTATGTTCAAGATGGGTCTCTGATCGTTGCCCCTCCTCCCCTTGTCTCCACGAGCTTCTCCTTTGCACTTCCTGGTTCTTCATTCCACAAAGAAGCATTGGGTCCCTCCAGCATGAGGCCCTGTCCTCCTGGAGCCTTCCTGCCGGGCTGGTATCAAAACACACGAATGAATGAGACAGCCAAAGAGACTGATAGAAACCTTGAGGGAGACTTGAGTGGGACAGAGATGGGGCTGGTAAGGCCTCCAGGCAATGGTGACTTTGGGCTGACATCCAGAGGTGGGCAGGGCCAGAGGTGCAGAGAGCCAGAAAGAGTGCTCCCAGGAGGCTTCCAAAGAAACAGTTGCCGGGGGCAGGGGTTGGGGAAGATGGAGCAACGGCAGGGGGCTGCTGTGGGGAGAGATAGGTGGGGGCAGATCCCACACAGAAGTTGGATTTTGTTTAGTGAGTGATGGATGTCCCTGAGATGTTTTCAGCAGAGGGCCACCAGCATTGGATGTGCATCTTGAGTGCTTACTCCGAGACTGAATCGGAGCAAGACAGGAAGCAGGTGGAGGGTGTGAAGCGCTCCTCTGGGATGTTCTGTGGTGTCCCGCGATGTCATCTGAGCCCCCAGAGAGGGAGCAGGAACCTCACCTGAGGTGTGCTTGACTGTTGTGTTCGCCTCTCACTTCTTTCCCTCTTTCCCCACCGCGTGTGTGAGTTAGGAATTGATTGTTGCATGCTCCTGAGCTGGCAGGTGTAGCAAGCAGTGGTTTTTAAAATTCGTTTACAAATTTGCATTTCTTTTTCTTGACTAAGGGCCACAGGAAAGGCCTGCCTGAGGGCACACCCTCATTGCATACATGGGCTTGTCAGGAGCAGAGCATGGAGAAGGAAGAACCTAGCCTGAAACTCATCTGTAAATGCACCTACTGCTGCAGTTGGGGGTCAAGACCAGAGAGCTGGAGGGGAATAGGAAGGACTCAAGACGTATTTGGAGTGTGGATGGATGACGTGTGGGGAATGAGGACGAAGAAGCACCAAATTCAACTGCTCAGGGTAACTTGAGCCTCTGCAGGGACAGTGTGTGGCAGGGCAAGCAGTGCACATTTGGGGATTCTAGCACATAGGTGACGCTTGAAGCCTCTGTCTTGGGGGTGTCTACCAGGAAGAAGCTGTAAATACTGAGAAGGAGGGGCACAGCTGAGCCCATTAGGATTTGCTCTCAGAGATGATAGGCCAGGGAGACAGGACTGCAAAGGGCTGAGCAGGAGCAGTCCACAGAACTTCCATCCTAGAGGGGAGATGCCCTTCCAGCCGCAGGGAGCAGCCCACAGCAAGTGCCAAGGACTGAGACGTGGAAACTCCTCGAAATGCTGTGAATGAGGTCAGGAATCTGTTAATGACACAGATATCATGTGTACACTGGTTCTGCTAGGCTTTCTTCACTCGTAGTAAGAGGTTAGCTTTCTTTTTTTCAAATAATTGAGTCACATGAATTCTTACAGATTATAGGATTTCACTCTGTTGCCCGGGCTGGAGTGCGGCAACAGGATCATAGCTCACTGTAGCCTCAACCACTTGTGCTTAAGAGAGCCTCTCACCTTGGCCTTCCAAAGTGTTGGGTATAGGCGTCAGCCACTGTGCCACATCCAAACTTCTAATAAAAATTCCCATACAAGGACAGACATGGTGACGCACACCTATAATCCTAGCACTTTGGGAGGCCAAGAGGGGTAAATCACTTGAGGCCAGGGGTTCAAGACCAGGCTGACCAATATGGTGAAACCCCGTCTCTACTAAAAATACAAACATTAGCTGGGTGTAGTGGCATGTGCCTGTAATCCCAGCTACTTGGGAGGCTGAGGCAGGAGAATCACTTGAACTCAGGAGGTAGAGGTTGCAGTGAGCTGAGATTGCGCCATTGCACTTCAACCTGGGTGACAGTGAGACTATGTCTCAAAAAAAAAAAATTGTCATATATATTTCCAGTCATTTTGTGGTTTCCTATGTTATAATTAAGTCATTGAGCCATCTGGACTTTATTTTCTTATAAGAGGAGAGTAAGGAAAACACTTTATTGTTTTCCAGCCACCTTTTAGTTGCCCAACACTATTATTAAATAATCACATTTTTATCAGCGAAATGAATCACTATCATCGTGATACATTATTAAGTAAGGTTTGTGTAAGTTGGGTTTTTTGGAGTATCTTTCAGTATTAGTAAAGATAATTCAGAAATGTTGTGGATAGCATATAGATAGGTTATGGTCTATTTTTTCCTTTTGTTTTTACTCATTCTGCTAAGCTCCGCCTTTTAATTGCAGAGTTTCAACTATTTTCAGTTATCACAGTTACTGACAAGAAAGGATTTTATTCTGCTCTTCAGCTATTTGCTTTCTTTATGTCTTATATATATTTTGTTCCTCCCTTACCACTTTTTGAAAAAACTTTATTTCTTGGCATGTACCGTTTTGACTCCTTTTCTTTTCTGCATATTTTTAAATGCATTTTCATTTTTTCTGAAATATATTGTTGTATAAGTATATATACATTTAATAAATATATATATTTTAACATATACTTATTTTAATATGTCTTAAAGATATATATCACATATATATATATATTTTTTTTTTTTTTGGAGACAGAATCTGATCTGTTACCCAGGCTGCGATCTCAGCTCACTGCAGCCTGTGGCTCCCAGATTCTAGCGATTTTTCTGCCTCAGCCTCCTGAGTACAGGGAGTAGCCACCAAGCCTGGATAATTTTTGTATTTTTTGTAGGGACAGGGTTTTACCATGTTGGTCAGGCTGTCTCAAACTCCTGACTTCAAGTCATCCACCTGCCTCGGCCTCTCAAAGTGTTGAGATTGCAGGCATGAGCCGTGCACCCAGCCTAAAATTTATTTTCTTACTGCTTTCCTTCAAGATTACAATGACCTTCTTCAGTGTCTAAAAAGGTAGTTTTATAATACCGACATAATTTCACTGCAGTCCAAACACTGTGCTCCTGCACCGCTCCGTCTCTCCAGCTTTCCGTTGTCGCTGCCATAGATCACATTTGTGCATGCTGCGTGACCACTAACGTAGATCTTCAGGTCGTGCATATGTGTCCCGCAAGGTTGACTTGTGATGGTTGATTTTGTGTGTCAACTTGGTTACCCAGATTCTTGGCCAAGTGTTATCCTAGATGTTTCTGTGAAGATTATTTATTTATTTATTTATTTAGATGGGATTAACATTTAAATCAGTGGACTTTGAGTCAAGCAGATTACCCCCATCATGTTCGCAGGTCCCATCCAATCAGTTGAAAGCCTCAATAGAAAAAAGACTGACCTCTACCAAGAAAGAGCGCGTTCTGCCAGCAGGCAGCCTTCGGACCTGAGCTGTGACTCTTCTCTGTTGGCCTATCCTATACCTTTTGAATTTGCCAACCCCCATAGTTATGTGAACCAGTTCCTAAGGATAAATCTCTCTCTCTCTCAAGTAGGGGCCCCTAACCCCCAGGCCATGGACCAGTACTGGCTGTAGCCTGTTAAGAACCAGACTGTGCAGCAGGAGGTGAGCTGCAGGAGAGTGAGCATTACCGCCTGAGCTGTGCATGCTGTCAGATCAGCGGCAGTGTTAGACTCTCATAGGAGCGCGAACCCTGCTGTGAAATGCACATGCAAGGGATCTCAGTTGAGCACTCCTTATGAGAATCTAATACCTGATGATCTGGCACTGTCTCCCATCACCCCCAGATGGGACCGTCTATTTGCAGGAAAACAAGCTCAGGGCTCCCACTGATTCTACAGTATGGTGAGTTGTATAATTATTTCATTAAATATTATAATGCAGTAATAATAGAAATACAGTGACAATAAATGTCATGTGCGTGAATCATCCTGAAACCACCCCCATGACCCAACTCCAGTCCGTGGAAAAATTGTCTTTCAGGAAACCAGTTCCTGGTGTCAAAAACATTGGAGACCTCTGCTCTAGAGAGCCCTGAGTAATACAGAATTTTTAAAGATTTGAAGTTCTTTTAAACCAAACTTAATCTCCAAGTAACAGCAATAACAAGATTATATTTCCACCTAACATAATACAGCTATCCTGTATACAACTGAAAATGCACTAACCCTTTCTCCAGAAGAGGATGCAAAGTCCTTGAGTGGCGTTTACCCCTCTCCCTGATACCCTCGGAACATAAATACTACAAAGTGAACAGTACTTAAATACTATGATACACATTCAAATATCTTATGTCACATAACAAGGGGATAAGAGAAGGAGGAAAACACAGATATTTGCTTAACATACATTTACATGTGAGCACACACATGTAACACAATAAGGAAGAAATAACGATTACAATCCTTGTTTCCTTGGCTGGTCATGTCGTAGCTGGTATTTATAACAAGCTTCTTTCACTCTGCATTCTGTATTCCCTGTGCTCTCGCTAAGCACCTCACTGGTCATGGCTCTATGCCTGGTAGACTGAACCAACCTTCATTCCTGAAGGGTCTGAGCTATTAGTGGTCTTGCCTTAATTGGGCTGTTGTGGTTTTCCATTGACTTTAATCACCAGGCATGGTAACACTAAGAGATGCCCTAAGGAATCTCCTGATTCTAGACATCCTCTTCCTTACGTCCATTGTGGAATAACAGTCCAATTTCCCCTTGGTGGTCAGAACCAATCAATCCAGCCCACAGGGTTTGTGTAACTGGTTTTTGCCTGTTGACTTAGAGGCATGAGGAACCCAAAGTGGGCAAGTGGCAGTATTAATTTCAAGTTAAATGGAATCACTATTGTGTCTCCTCATGGAATCATTCCTCCCTCTGAAACTCAGAGCTCTAGCAAAGTGTAATGTTGAGGAACCAGGCAGCAAAAATTTTGCTAACAGGTCACTAAGAGTAATGTGGAGTGGGGCCATTCCCACTTCCACCCCTAGATTCCTGGACACGGGAATCCTAGCAATGGAAGAAACAACCCCATGTATTGGATGATAATTCAAAGCATAGACAGTCTCCT